CTTTGTACAGAACGTAGATTATTACAGAACCCCTTAGATTTATTTGATTTATTACCTGTGATTTGATATGATTACTTTGGAAAGATAATGTAGCTGGTTTCTGAGTACCTTCTCTACAGTTCTGAGTTCAAAGTAGACCTCTTAGAATGGTTGAAATTCAAAGCTAGAGAACAATCTATTCTGCCATTTAATCTATAGCCGGTGTAGGAAATGGATCCATGCCTTCCGCAATGGCATTAATATCTTCTCGGTGTCATTAGTTCCCAATTAGTCATTTAATACTGAAGGCACAACTATTTATTCCCTCTTAGTAGATAATCTGACAGGTCCGACAAAGTTAAACTGGCATCAACTCTTAAAATGTACCTCCAGTCAGTGGTTAACTGGTACAAGGAACGGCTTGTAAATTTTAATGTCGCCAAAACAATGTTGCTTTCATTTAATAACCATAGACAACCGTGTTTGCCTTCCATCAGCATCGATGATACTAACCTCCAAGAGATTAATTCTTTGTGCCTTCTTAGACTTAAGTTTTCTACTGACATGAAGTGGAGTAATAATATTGACTCACTTACTAGTTCTGCTACTACGTTGGTTCATTGTGTAGCGTCAGAAAATATTTTCATCAGAATCATTCTTGCACATTTATAAATCTACCATTCGTCCGGGCATTGAATATTGCTGCCATATATGGTCTGGTGTTCCCGATATATATCTCAAGATTCTTAGAAATATTCAAAGAAAAGTTTGTAATGTAATCAATCCTGACTTGGCCTCTCGACTTCAGACATTTTCCCACCGCTGTGATATAAATAAAAATTGTTTACATAAATATTTTCTTTTTGTGCACGTCATGTGTACAATTAAGCAAAAAGAATTTTATTAATTTTTATATTTTGTCATCTTACTTTCATTTACTTTTCATTGCAATTACACGTAGAGAGCAACAATGAAAAAAAAATCTCTCGGTAAAACGCAAACTCGAAACAGGAACGCTACAGGTTTGGCTGGAATTTGAACTCGTCTCACCGATTCTGATTTCAGCTCCGATAACCTTTATTTCGCATACGCTTCTAACATCCATAACTGTTTTCTCATGATATACACTTGAGCAGCTTGAAATGGTCTGTCAAAACTCTGCTTCACTTAAACACCGTAAAATAAACTGTTTAATCTCAGTCATGTCACTTGGCCTACAGACAATTGTCGATCCGAATGAATTATTAATGCGAGAAAAAAATTTTCCAAGAAGGTTAGTGCTTACTGAAGCTCTGCAATGTTCTTAGGGCGCTTATAACTGTGTTACGTTGATTAAACCCAATGACGGCTCACTCGAAACCAGTGCCACCGGTCATTTAGGCTAAAAGTGCCTGTCAAGATGCAACCGGTCGTTATCGCTGATATTGCAAATTATGTAAACATCGTCGAAGAAGCGTCAGAGAGAATTCATTCTTTGCTAACAGTAGGTTGATCCGTCGTAATAATGTTTAATTGTAATAGACGTATATTTTAATGAGTAGATAGGTTTACATATCGTCCGGTTCACACACCTTCCAGGTCTTTTGAACCTATTTGGTGGATGTTTAAGCCTTGTTTCCTGCTTAGATTTGCTTTTCCGGTTTCTTATAACTTCAACTCTATACTTCTAACACCTCCACCTAAACTTTGACATTTATACTATTACTCCATTTCCAGTTCCTTCTACAGTCTTTTCCTTCTCTTTCACTTCTACTAACACCTCGCATCTTAGTGGCATTATCGCTTTGTTTGTAGTGAATTGATTTAAAAATATCTTGGTCTTATTGTGCGCCGTTCAGTGAATATCAGTTTATTTTATGCCGTTTAAGTGAAGGACTACTAATAAAAACGTTCTTGTAAATTATTCATGCGAACTGAATCTACATATCTTAGACCAGTATATGAGAAATTGAGCAACACAGTCTTAAACGCCTTAAACAATTATTCGTTATTAAAGATTGATTTCATTGTTTCTGTATAGTCTTAATTATAAAAAATAATCTTTTAATAATTATATGTTCAGATTTTTGTGATATTTGATGTCTAGATATTTTCTATTTTATTCGCCCGTTACAAATTGTATGTTTGAATTTAAAATATGGCACTATTTGGAGATTTTAAGAATCACAATTTGTGTTTCTTTTGCGTGGTCAAAATATTATTTTGGTGATATCGATGCTTAACACTATGTACTTCCGAAAATATATTTCCGCTAGAATTTCTTGTTTTAGTTTTCTTTTGTTCCACATCTAAGTTTATTTTCCGTGGGTTTCTTAAGTTTCTTTATTTTTTTTATTTTAGTGTTGCTTTTCTTTTTAAAGGGTGGGACTATTTGATCAGTTCTACCTTTTCTTTAAAACACTCTGTTTGTCTCAATAGTTTAATCCGTTTGGAATTTCACTCCAAAACATTAAGTGTGTTTGATTTTAAAAATTACTCAGCTTAACGACTCCACCTCAACTACCAAAAACTCTAGGCACAATCCTATTTAGAATATTATCTCATCACGAAAACAGCCACCGGATGTATCAATCATTTTCGGCGGCCATGACAGAATTCAGGATAGTGGGCAGTTAGACGAGAGCAAATGTTCTGCGTTTCGTATTTGTTCTATGCAAATATTTCTTTCTAAATTGTTTTATTTGGCTTTTTATTTCTTTGATTTTTTTCTTTATTTTACCTAACTACCAAAGCCATTAGGCGTAACTGAAAATTACAACGCAATAGTTCGTGTCATGCAATGTTGATATTTTGAGCTCATTCTTCCATAGGAGTTTCATAAATAGAGTCTTCAGCCCAAATTAAAGAGTTAAAAATATCTACCCAACGTTCTCCAAAATAAACTAAAATCGTATTAGTTTATTGCGTAATTTCATAAGGTCAGCATTGCGTTCAGTCAAGCAAATAACATTTGTACTTACTTATTTCAAGGAAACTGGACAACGCTAGCTGAAGCCATAAAACACATATCACATAGCTTAATTGATGTTGGCTATTAACCAAGAAGATCGTACACGTTTTTTCAATGACCTGAAAATCTTTTTGAAAAATCTCCAAACGTTACAATAATTAAAGCAACGTTTTAATGTCCTGGCTATCTGCTTAATATCCAAAGGCAGATGAAATAAAAGCAAATTATTGGAAAACCTAAAAATATTTGTACTGGTGGCATTAAGAGTGTTTAGTTTTAGCTAACTTCGAACATAGCTTTTGATTGTATTTTGACAACTGACTTTATCAATATGTATGATAAATGGCCTCTTTTCGTTTATTGATTCTAACATTAAATATGGAAGAAAACATTTTTCATATTATTTCTTTATTTAAAAAAGGAAATGGTTTAAACTAAAAAACAAAACATTGTGCAATTTATGTAGAAGTTATTGTGAATTAATCGAATATGTCAAAAGTGGATAGAAAGTTTCACGCAGATTTCTCCCTGAACAAGGTTCCATGGTAAAGTAGGCCAGTTGAAGTTGAGCGTGATCAAATGAAGATACTACGTGAGAATAACGTTTTCCAACACGAGATGCGACAAAAAGTATGAAAAGTATCTAAACCAAGCACATAAAATCACTTACACCAGCTTGCTTAATTGTTTTTTAAATAGTTAACTGTACGTAAATATAATATTTTCTAAACGATATTTGGACGAGTGATAATTTACAACAATGTGAGATACAGAAGATCGTGTGGCAAGTGAAATGCAAGCAGCACAAACTGCGCCATTTGTCTTCATTCTGATGCAGCATATATAACAGAATTGCAATGATTCCATCTACTATGAACTAATTCCTAAGAACCAAAGTTTCGAACATAATAATTAAAGAAATTAAAAATGAGGTTCGGAAACTATTTAAAAAAGTGTATGACATTCTAACAGGATAATACAAAAGTACATAACATTTAGTGACCCTGAAAATTGTTATATTTTAGCCTCTGATATGTCTGTAATACAACGCTTAATTGCTCGGAAAGAGAAATTGAACAAGCAGAGTTCGAATTCCTGTCGAGTTCGTTTCTTGGAAAAGGTATGCATCCATTACTTTTCTCCTAGCTATGGGTTAAATAGCAAGGTAGAGTGGGTTCTGTAGCCTTGATTAGTAAGCAATCAAGGATAAAGACGACTCTGAACTGTTTAGTGTATTAATGGGCAGATATTTTGTGGCAATCTATCTAGAGATGGTGTCACGAGTCACCCAGACTACTGGGGGACTCGTGGTGATGCGTCAGCCTGTAAAAATTCACAATGACTGAAATTCTTCACTCATGTGAGTTGAGTAATCTGCCGCAAGTGGAGATAAGATCTACTTTTGTTTTGTAGCTGGGAATTTTTCACTCATTCCATTGGGCCTTTAAATTATCCTTTAGTTAGATTTTATAAAATTTGCTTTACTGAAAATTAAATGAAATTACTTGGAAGACTACAAAAAGTTAATTACTGAGAAAGATAAAACGTTCTAGGAGGATGAACGGTGTATAAAAAATGGAGGAAGATAAAAATGGTTAAGAGGCTATTAAGTTTTAATATGGAAAATTTTAAAAATTGTCTATTTTTAATTAAGAAATTACCTAAAGATTTAGAGAATTTGACATTCAGAAAGCATATTGAGGAGTGGAGGAAAATATTGAGTAATTTACCTAATGACCTTGTGCAAATGGATGGCAGGATAAGGACAGTGAGTATAAAGGAACAGAGATTATTTAGAGTTGCGTAGAGTAGGAAGATGTGGTGGTTCTTGATCGGCCATATGCTGAATGGACATTGCACATAGAAAAATATAACAGAATACTTTGAGAAAAATGTAAACTATGAAATGGTTTGTAAAATAATGAAAATCAATTTCATGGATTGAATCTCTCTCTCTCTCTCTCTTTCTCTCTCTCTCTCTCTCTTTCTCTCTCTTTTTTCATTCTTTCAAGTAACTTCATCTCTTTCTCTCTCTTTCTCTGTGTGTATGTGTGTGTCTTTGCGTTCTTTCATGTGCCGTCATTTTTCACTTTCTCTATCTCTTTGCATTCTTTCACGTGCCTTCATCTCTCTCTCTCTCTCTCTCTCTCTCTCTCTCTCTCTCTCTTTTCTGTGTGTGTGTGTGTCCCTCTCTCCCTTTTGCATTGTTTCAAGTAACTTCATCACTCTCTCACTCACTCCCTCTCTCTCTCTTTCTCTGTGTGTATGTGTGTGTCTTTGCATTCTTTCACATGCCTTCATCTCTCACACACTTTCTCTCTCTCTGCATCCTTTAATATACCTTCATCTCTCTCTCTCTCTCTCTCTTTCCCTCTCTTCCTCATTTTTCATTCTTTCAAGTAACTTCATCTCTCTCTCTCTCTTTCTCTGTGTGTATGTGTGTGCCTTTGCATTCTTTCATGTACTTTCATCTCTCTCCCCTCTCTCTCCCCTCTCTGTATCTGCAAGTAACTATCGCTCTCTCTCTCTATCTATGTATCTTGTAAGTTTAGCAGAATGCTTTGATATATTCTGTTATACTTAATAGTTTAAGCAAATGGATAGAGGAACACAATTATACCACAAATATAAAGTATGGTAAGAAAAAAACATATAATTTCTGAATAACAGAAACAGGAAGCTGTGGAGAATCATGATTATTCCTCTCCTGAAAAGACATGGTACGTAAAGAAAGAGAAATATGAAATGGTCTATTTTGATTCCAATGCTTTAAACTTTAATAATTTAAACTTTTAATTTAAAAATATTAGTTGAGAATACAAAATGTCGGTAATATCGTAGAGAAAGTGTAATATGTATTTATCAAGCAAAATGGCTTTCATAAAAAGCTGCAATAAAAAGCTAATAAAAATGACTTCGTTGCCTGCGGATTAAAACAAAATAAACGGACGGATGACTAAAAGAATTGTTTTCTTAAAACAACACGCTTTCCTCAGAACTGGGTTTGTGTATATTTATACTCACCGCCCACATTCTAAATGTAGACTAGCTAAACTCGTCTGACGTCTTCCAATTAATAAGAGTAAAAGGAATGAACGAGGTTGAGGAAGATTTGTGGGTGGAGAGGTAGAGGAGAGACGAACTCGATGGGGAAAGGTACCAGCTACTTTGTTGACCAAATGGGAAGATATTGCAAAAACTTCTCTTCCGATGTCCGTGGGGTCCTCATCACAAGAACTATTTAAACATTATTATAATCAAGGATTTTTTCTTCTTCCATACCCTTTCTGTCTTTATTTTCTTTCTTTACACAAATCCAGCTGTCTTTCTTCGTGAACACACTTCGATGAAATTCTAATGAGCGCTATTTTCGACGCAACGAAATAGCTAGAAATAACCATGTTGAATGTTTTCGGCTATTACACGAGGGATTTGTGTTGTTATGTCCTCGATAAAAATAAAGACTCCAAATTTGAGGATAACATAATATAAATAGACAAACTTTGAATTCATAATCAATCTCAATGTTGTGTAAAGATCATTCCAAGTGTAGATCATCATATACGTCATACAATTAATTTTCATATCATGAGTATCTTGCATTTGTAAAACCTTAGATAAACTTGAATGATTTGGGATTTAAGTCGTATTTGTTTGACGAATATAGCTATGGAAAATCCACAATTAAAATATTATGTAATTTTCTGTAACCCGGAAATATGCTAAATATTGGATCCATTGCTAGGTCAGCTGCTAAGAAAGTTGCTTCACTGTGTCGTGTTAGACATTTTTTCTCCCCTGAATCTATCTTACATATCTATATGTCTATGCTTGGAATATTGCTGCCACATATGTTCCAGTGCCCTTACTATTTACCTTGAGCTCCTTGATAAAATCCAAAGAAGAATCAGCAATATTATTTGCCCTGATCGTGTCACTCGGCTTAAAAAACTTTTGTCTTTTCTATCAATACTTTCTTAGATCTCATCCGAACAATGGTTCGGATGAGCTCTTCGCTATAGTACCTAGACTTTTTAAATTTAAGAGCAGTACTGGACTGGCGTCGGGATCTCACCAATTTCCAGTTAAGCTGACAAGTTATAACTGTAATTTATATGCTAACAGTTTCTTTTCTCGCTTGTGGAACTTCCTTTTGGCTCCATGCTTTCCAGCTAACTTTAAACTGCAAAATTTTTAAAGGCAAAGTCAATCGCTATCTACTGTCTTTCTGATTACTCTTTCCTCTTACCTCTCATTATTAATGTTAAAGTCGAAAATACCTGAACAAAAAATAAAATATGAATTTAGAACAATACTCAACAACTTAAAATTCGAAAAATATAATAAAAATTAATCAGAAAAACCTTGTCGGCTATTTTTAATATGTATGTGTGTATGTGTATATGGGAGAAATATGATATATCAGACTTATGGGAAGTAATTGAATGATAAAACATGTAACGTATAATTTGTTTATATTTTTGCTCCCTCTCTCTGAATATATATAAGTCTATCAACAATAACATTATTTTACGAGTTACGTAAAATGTTTTCCATTTTGAGATTCAGTTACACATGATAGATAGATAGATAGATAGATAGATAGATAGATAGATAGATAGATAGATAGATAGATAGGATGTGAATTTTACATCTCCATGCGATCTTTATACCAAGTCTCACTATTATTTTAGTGGGCTGTATATATGACAGTTTTTGATTTATAAGGGATTTATAACTCTGTGTAAATAATTATAAACCCCCTTACATTTATATATATACAAAAATAATCGTAAAAATGAGTAACGGAAAAACGTGGAAACAACAAAACGATAATTATTTATTATCTGTTTGTTATGTGGTGTTAGAGAAACGAGAGACAGTAAAACTGGGTTAAATTGTGAGTCTTTCGTCAAATGTAAAACAAATATAGATCGGAATTCGACAGAATGATAACCTAAAGAAGAAATAAAATGTATAAAGTTTTTCTCGCATTTGTTTTATAAATGTGCGTAATGTGTGTCCAGATAATTTAGTTGGAAAATACAAGGAATGTGTGGGTTTTCTTACCTCGAATTTTTGTTGAGTGTTAAAAGATAAATGCTACTATTATGACTTGAAAAAGGAAAAGGGGGATGAGTTTTCATTGACGCACGTGTTAACGACCTTCCCGTGTGAACTGCTTGTCGATAGCTTAAATGCCAAGTGTTTGTTGTGGAGGAGAAAAGTGAGGTCGATTTTTATTGGTTTAGAATGACTGAATTAATGATAATTATAATTGTTATAATCATCTTATTAAAATTATTTTTGGCACTATATTAATTATCATTTGTATGGAAACGAGAAAATTGACACTATAATTAATTTTTTATTTATGTATTTTTTAGACATACCAGTATATAGGTCATGAGTGGATTGATGGTAGCGGGGGAAGATGAAACCAGTCCATCCTAGTTTCTTTTCCTTAGGGCAGTGGTTCCCAAACTTTGTGGGGTTGCCGCCACCTTGAGCACCAAATCACAATCCTAACGCCTTCCCTTGCAAATTTCCATCGCACGGTGTGACGGTACCGTCAACTTTAGAAATCACTGGTTTAGGGTCAATGTTTGAGGTTCCCTATGTATCGCGAGGTCTAGTTTGCTTATTCATGCTGTTTGGGTGAATCTCAATAGGGGAGATATATTTGTAGTGCAGATTTCTTATTTACGTATGTATTCATTATTTATTAGATAAGTCATTTACATTATTTATTTATGTGTTTTGCATATTACTTAATTTATACATTTTTGACACTTGGTTTGAAGATCATATTAAAGCGGAAAACCGACAATCACCATGGAGTATAGATTCCTATATCTACACTATTTACAAAGTTTCTATCTCTGATATTGAGCACTTTAAGTATAGCAAATTCTAAGCAATAAATATATATATAGACGTATGGGGATGTGTGCGCAAACAAGAAGAATTCATACACAGAAAATTATTGCACATTTGTAAAGATAAATATTTGAAGAATTTCAAAGTATTTTATCTTTGAAGAGATAGATATTCACTTACAGTAATTTACTAAGCGAAACTTAGTTGTGGCAACAAGGATTTTCTGAGCGTAGCTTAGCACTCAGTGAGGAGCGAACTCACTACTCAGTCGTAACTGACCCAGCAAGACATGATTGCTAACCGTTACACCACGTCGAAATACCCAACGATTTACTAAGCATAGTTTAGTTGTGTCACATGAATGAAAATATGGACCAATCAGTGAGGATCGAACTCACCATTCAGTCGCAATTGAACTGACAAGAAGAGATTGCTAATCATTACACGACGTATGTAGCCTTACACCTATATTTGTTAGAAGTGGGTGAATTTAGACACCAATGCATAAGCGAAAGTTTCTGGAAATCTTTGAAATCTAAGGACTGAATATACTGCAGAAAACCTTTCTTTATTTTTCAAAATATCCTGTCGTTTCAGGTACCGTCAACTTTATTATCCTTGAAATTATATGACTTCTTGAGAAAAACAATAGTGGAGTTTCCTGTCTCCTTTTCCACCTTTTTTAAAAATTTAGTGTTGTGCTTTCTCCTAGACTAGATGCCAGCCAATTCCAACATTGATTGATTATTCAAATAAGCTTGCAAATCATCACTTCAAAAATTATTATTGTCTTCCATGACAAGGTTTATACTCTGAGTTAAATTTTCTTTTCTTGAACATAGCAAACCATTCACAACACGCACTGATTCTAGCTAAATAATATCCATACGATACATCAATCATCTGCCGTCGTCTTTATTTTTATTTTCTATGTCCTTTTAAAATGTAGACTCTCAAGACACCTTTGTTTTTATTATTTATGAATCTCATGAATTCCTGGGAAAGACAGTGCTGTGTTTTCCCATTAAATCTGCTACTAAGAAAGTTGCTTGACTATGGCGTGCGAAACAATTTTTACACATTTAATGCATTTCATATCGCTGTCATATCTGGCCTGATGCTTCTACTATGGATTTATAGATTCCTGATGAAAATCCAAAGTATACATTTAGAAAACTATTATTTAGAAGTGTTTCTCTGATTTATTTGTTTCATCAGAAAAATGTTTATTACAACCAAATCAACATTGGGTGAAAAAAATCTGGATTCATATGAACCATCAATTTTTTTTTTTGCTTCACCTGTAAATTTTTTTAATTTAAATTTTACTAATTCCAATTCAGTTTTATTTATGCGAGCTTCGAAAAATCTCAAGCCAAATGAATATATAAATAAAAACTGATTTGAAATTAGTAAAATCAAAATTAAGAAAATGAGTTAAAGTAAAAAAAAAAAAAGATGATTCATTCATATTATTGATGGGAATCACGTTTTGTCTCGTCCAATGTTGAGTTGGTTGAAATAAAATCCATTCTCCTGATGACACCATTTGATCTGCGAAACACTTCAAAATATGAGTTTTCCAAATTATCTTATTGTCTTATATATTTACCATTTTGTCGGATTCCTATTTAAAGTCAGAGATATATGAATAAAAGTATACAAAAAGAAAAATTATTCTTAGCCGACACAACAGGGACATTA